ATATCAATCGTGAAAATCAACACTAATGAAAACCATGTGTGACGTTTAAGTGTGATGGTTGTTGATTAATTAATTTTTAAAAGTGACCGTTTCAGAACTGTTTAATTTCCTCTCATTTGATGTTGTTCTTAGGTGTTCTATAATATGGATACTTTCGCTGATTTAGGTCAAAATAAAGTGTTGAATTGGGTTAGGATGATGTGATGCATACTTCTATATACCAGGATTCATTGTTTTAACCAGTAGACTTAGCGGAAATTAGCCGGGAAGTAATTTGCAAATTTTTATATCGTTTTAACATATCTGCAGGGCCCGCGAGAGGAGTGTGTGTGGTGGGGGGGGGCACTTCTTCGGGGCCCGGAGCCTAGAGAGAGCTCCGGAGGTATGCCAAGTAATGTTTTATAAAAAAAATTGATAGTATAAATTAATTAAAAATTAATACACTGTTACTTGATCGTAAAGTAGAAGAACACCGGGGACTTTTCTGATTGTGGGTACCTAGTAGTAGGATTAGAATCGAATTCTGTCAGTACACTTTTTTGGGAAAAATTGGTGAATTAAAAACCACATGTTACCTGCCCGGGCCTTCACGCCGTGGGGCTCGGCCCGTCCTCGTTCTGTTTGAGAATCTCACCACCGCCAGCCCACCCCCCTTTCCGCGGTTTGAATCCAGTTCAGCATGATTTTGGGTATTGAAAAAAAATAAACGAATAGTTTATGTGATGACAAAAATTGTCTTTTTGATATTTTGGCATCTGATGGTCACGGCTTTTGTTTTCCCCTTTGTTTGCTTGTTTAAAAAAATGTCCTGTCAAAATGACGTACATCTGATTATTATTATATCAGTAAAAATAAAATGTATTTGGTATGGTATATGTTGTGTTAAATATCAGTTTCTGTGTTTTAGCAAATCGACCTCCAGTTACCCACTGGAGCAGAAAAGTAGGAAGTTAAACCCCATTTTATTTCATTTTCAGTTACCCGCCTTCGCCGTGTTGTTTGTCCCGAGAGCCCTGCACAACTGCCAACGTGTAATCCAACATCGGCCGCATCCCAACATTGACTGTTTTACGGGTGTAAAAGTTTGGCGAACAAATCATACATATCTTATTTCTGAAATATGGTCGCTTTAACTTTCAATTTCCGAGTCGCACACATTATTAGTAGTGCCATGGAGAAAAATACCTTACTCTTAGTGGACCACTGCTCGGACTTTCAATAAGTGGGTTATTTTGAGTATGATAATATTCAAATTCAATTACATTGTACGTTTATTCTCTGGGTTAGAGTGATACTGTCCTAAAATTGCCGCTATTGAAGAGAGATGGGGGGGGGGGGCATCCGAACATTTCACGTTGTTTTGGTTCAAGAAGTCCATGGAGACACGTGTGCGGATCTTGATGACATTGAGTTGGTCCATCCTAAGGTTGTCTGGCACGAAGACCGATAAAGCGTAGTCGGCAACAAACAGTGTCAGTTCTAAATAAACCATGTGCACCCTTCACATTATCAGCAGTACGAAAAACTGGCAGATAATGTGCCGGCTTTATATAAATGCTGTCGGTCGTTGCCGCACAGGCCTTTGTCGATCTCTTGTGAACCCCGGAAACGACCGGCCTGTCTCAGAATGGCAGTGTGCAAACCTTCTGGCGGCGACGGCTCTGGGAACCATTCACTCTTGAATGAACGCAATGGCCGGTGTCCGGTCTGTATGAGTTGTACTGTAAGTCACATTTTATACCATATGTCTCTGCACCATAAAAGCGTGATTTCAGTCGAATTCATATTTTTTGTGTTCGAGAGAATTTATCTGTGGTCCGTTTACGCGATGGTGAAAACATCATTCTCACGTATCATCGTCATGATCTGATTTTGTTACGCGCAGAATTGAAGTTTATCTCTCACAAAAGATTTACATTCACCCATTTATAAAAAAATGCTGCGTTTTCATTACTTCTCGGTACATTATTGGACAAAAGAAAAAGTATAGCCATAAGTTTATCATTTATTCACATTTATTAAGGCCGACAATAATTTCTTATTTGGACAGTATATTCGGTCAATCATGTAGATAATCGAAATACGACTACAACGTGTCATAAGATTTTGTGCCCCCTCGCAAAGGGCAAAAATATATCGCGGTTTCAATGTGGTTTTCAATATTATAATCATAATCATAATGCTTAAACAGTGTCAAACATATACCGCGAGTCAGATATGCTACAAATCGACTCTAGCCAGCTCCTCACAGCCCAATCTTACTCGGTGGCACTGGGAGGGATACCCCTCCTCCCCCGCACACACATATAAATATTGTTGTTCATGCAAAATCATGGATCATCACGCCCCTGAATTAAAGAAAACTAATACTTTAGTCAACCAGCTATGAGTCTACAATCACATGTCACTTATCTGATTAAAATTATCCATATCGTATCAAAGTACATCGCATTACTAAAACCAATTATGTTTGAATTCCCTAAAAAGTTGAATTTGACCCGCGCGCGATACTTTTTACTGAAATAATAGAATAATGTTAACCGCAGAGACCTTTCTTTACTCCTTGCTTTTCGATGAAGATAAATTGGAGGGGAATTACTCAGTTACTCCTGTAATGGTAGATTAGAGTATTACTATTAAGTTGACGAGAGCAATTTCTAGTCGATTATTACGTTAAATCCTTACAAGAGACTTTCAGTCCGTACGTTTGTATTGGCCTAAAACCTTAAAAGAGAGAAAATGATTTAAACAGATTGTTTGATGAACTAACAAGACGATGGAAGCCTCAGCACACGACAACCTTACAACGGTTATAACCTAATACTGAATTGCCTTAACCCCTACTCACCCATAAAAGACCAATTATTTTTGATGACTTCGCCACTTTTTATCCCTCACAAACGACACACTTGGTCTTTTTAACCTCTCAAATAGCCCCATGATCTAATTTCGTCTCCCTCATCCATCGGATAACATAATGGAATCTTTATTACATTGGGTGGAAATCTAATCGAGCCGAGGCATAAGATCGCCGTTCGATGCTAATTCACTTCACCAACGGCAAATTGAAGCCGAATCAAGCCGTATAATGCGCAAATGAGTAATCTTTAATTCAATAATAGGATAGAATAGAATGAATAGTAAACACGACATTCTCGTCTTCATTGCATTTTGTTCGTTTGACAGAAGTCTTAGTTTATTCTTCTAAATCTCAGTTAGCACCAAAGTCACGCTACGCAACGCCTTATTTTCTAGCCATGTCACTTCCGTTTCATCACCTTATTAAATCTTTATTCAAGCTCTTGTTAAATATATAATAACTATATTACCTATTTTTGTAATCTCACAGATGGAAAGAAGTAAGTAAAAAAAGTTTACGTGTATATGTATTCCTTTGTCTCTCTAATACATTGACAACGACATTCCATGAAAAATGCGAGTTGCATGACCGACTTCACATAATTGATATAGTTCGTCTTGTCCGCAGGTTTGTCTTATCGGTTTTGTTTTGCGTGTAGTGCGGTTCTCGTGCATTTACTAATATAGAATAGTTACTCGATTGATTTCAAAATTTCTATTACATATAGTAATAAGGCTTGAAATAACACATGGTATGGAATTTATTGGTGCTGTTTGAAGGAGCTAAACCACTTTGGATTGGGTTGGCCAGATCTGCTTTTTGATTTATAGTAGATTAAAATCAAAACGATTACATTTTCGTTTCGCAAATATTAACCGTAAATTAGTTAACTAATTTTAGAGTCTTGTGTGTGGGTGTGTGTGTGTGTGTGGGGGGGGGGGTATTCAGATACCCACTTTTATTTTTTAGCCAACTTGTTTAAATTTTTAGGAAAGACCATTTCCCGCTTTCCATTTCTTTTAGATGCCAAATAATACCCACAATTTACAGATATTATAAAGTCACGCGAGAAATACTGCAAAATATGGATAACGTATATTATAAATCCCGCATATTCCAGGCGAGGATCATGTTGAATGAATTAATAATTAATGAATTATTCTAATGGTTCGCTACTGAGATCTAGTAGGTACCATATTTATATACAGTTAAGAAGAACTGTTAAATAATATTCTCACATTACATGGGAACAACAAAAATAATCCTTCATCATTCTTTATCAGAAACCATTCCTTTATTTCATATTTATTATAATCGTCACCATTCGTGAAATTAATTATAAAAGTTTTCATGATTTAATTAGCTAATGCAGTATTGTTGATGCTTATAATACGAGAAATAGTAGACTGTCTTTCTACGATACGAGTATACGAATAATGGCCACATTATTTGGGCCAGAAAGATTTGAGGGACTGGATATATAAAATCTGGTCCTCGATTCTTCGACAAAAAAATATATACATTGTACAATACTTGGGATCAACAACACCAGAATATTTCATATGGACTATGCAAACGTACAATTGTTTTTTGAAGGGAAGCTTTTACCATGATTACTCAATCAAAGGTCCGAATTTAATGAATTTTCCTTTCTTTTACTTCATCCCATTCTGTTATAAGAATCTTCTTTGTGAAAAAATTGTGAATGCCCGGGGAAGATTTTAAATGTCCACTAAAATATTGCTAATTAAAATTTATAATTCGAATTCTAATCACAATTCAAATTGAATATAATTGCACGTGTTTTTTTTTTACTGCTGCGATTCGTGTTGAGCGTCTAATAAGAGGCTATTTTATTACGTGAATAGAATAACTCGTATGGTTCCAAGGGCGATTGGTTAGAAGTCTAACGGAACTGGCTGTTACCATAATGTAAAACATAGCTAATAAGGCTAAATGGTAGCATGTCGTTACATTGGCCTGTTACCAGATGATTGACAGCTCGCGATGTGCCGTTATCAATGAAGGAGGCGGTGTTAATTACTACAGACAAAGGGAAGCGCGAACGGCGCGTGCGGTAAACGCTATATAGAAATGGATTATTTTACGCTACATGCAATTGCATTTCCGTATAGCGCTGTCTAAATGTTTAGAAATTAGTGGACAGCAGAGAATAGCTTTAATCTCGTGAAACAAACAGTTCCATGTAACGTTTTTATATCAATGACGCGCTAGAATTAATGACTACATTAGTTTTTGGACATATTACGTGATCATTCCACAAGTTTTTTGCGGTATACTGAATGCTAAACTTTTGAAAAGAATAACAATTAATGATTCTCGAAATGATGAACTTTATTTCCCCATTCTCATCATTAGCGCTACCCCCAGGCTTCCACGGACTGACATCGGCTGCTAGTAGCGGAACAACCAACGTCAAACGTACACCCTTCGCCATTCAGGATTTATTGAGCCTGGGGAAAAAAGAGGGCGGTGGAGGTGAGAAAAACGAAAGAGGTACCCCAGAGAGGTCGAACATTCCATTATCGGCGTATTTTACTCCATTTCTTACTCCATCATTTGGAAGAGATCGGGAGACACCAGATTCTGAAAATCTACCCTTGTCGTATTCATCATGGCGGTCACCCGTTGTCCTGTCGTCTGCTATGTCGCCTGATGCCGTGTTTGATATGAGATCAAATGAGAACTTGTCGTTTCCAAGAAACTACAGTAAAAATGGTAAGTAGAAAATTTCATTTATATATATATACAGATTTTATACTGAATTCTGCATTTTTAAACATTTTAGCTGCGATGTATGTAAAATAGATTGTTCCATTAAAGTCACTGCATTATTTCAGGTGCATTAAAGGAATAATTTGAGAGGGACAGATTATAATATTATTCTTAACAGCCGGACATCGACGTGGTTAAATCCATGAATTCATTATGAAATTTTAGATTTATCCGGACCTTGTTCGATTTACAAATCTATTGGAAAATGTCAACCCCAATATAAATGCATTAGTAAATTGATAGATTCAGTTAGTAATATGTTTATTCCATTGGTCAAATCTTGAAGGATATAAATCAATTTAACCTATAGAGATTTATATTATTTTTATACTATACAAACATTAATGATATATTTAAAAAATAGTTCTTTGTTTAGATATCGGATTATAATATATCATCAAGCAGAGAGAAGTGTTTTATTTGTGTCAGGATTTTCTTTCTCAATTCATTTTGTTTTTTTAAAGAAACGAAATATGAAATATAGAATATTATTCCATCTACAGTCATTGGTTTTATTGATTGCGCTAGTAGACATTCAGACAAAAGAACAATAAGAAAGACGGTGTTTTAACATCGATGATACATGTCACAGATTGCGCAATTAGGAGAGCTTGCGCTTTCAATTGAAATACATGTATGGGGATAATAATATTATGTATTCATGTGATAATTTTATCGTATTAATTCCGATGATGTTAAACCCTTTTTATGCAGCATTGAATCATTTTGAAAGATTTGAGACTGCTCTGTTTTTGAAAGGCACTATTCTCAAATGATTGTATAATTTGTGTGAAGAAAATGTTATTGAATAATCCAATAAAATTTTGAAAAAGAGAAATTCGACATTTCATGTTAAAGTTTACGTCGATCATTGTAGTAACATAATCATTAATTCAGATGTGTAGACAAATCAGATAAAAGTCGGGTTTAGGCATCTTGAAAAGCTTTCTTTTTGTTTCATGTGCTTTTATATATATTGTTTCCACTTATCTGTGTTTTATTGTCTGTGGGGCGGTTCTCGTGTGCTTACTATTAGGGAAAGTATAGGTTGCTTGACTCACTTAATAAACTGGGATTAAATAGGCCAATGTTGAAAACTCAATAAATCCAACTGATTCTATAATCATAACGTTTGATTTCAAGTAATTTTCACCCATTAATACAGCTCTGTACAAAAATATTCACAGAAACTACATTATTCAAAAAACAAAAATAGCAAAGAGGAAATGAAATAGATAACTGCTGAAGCAATTACAAAAAATAATTCTTTTTAATTAGTTAATATATTTCCACGGAAAAACTAATTACAGACATTATATTTTACAAAGAATAAAGTGATATTCAATATTGAAATACGGGTATAAAATTAGCTTTTCCAGATAATTAATGCAATCATTTATCAAACGAATAGTCCTCACGGAATATCAAAAGACAAATTCCCGCGGGCAATCTGTTTTTCTAGCAGAGCGAGACGATGTATGAACTCTGATATTGACCAAGATACTTGTTCATTATTTTGTAGATGACAATTATGTAGACGACACCCCCCCCCCCTTCCCTGCCCCAACCCATACCTCGTTTTTTCAAAAAGAAGATCCTAAATATTCTTTACTAAAATTATACTTTTAAGATTTAATTTACAGTTCATTTTCTTTATTTGTGTGTGTGTGTGGTTTTTTTTTGTCTCAAAATATATCAAACGTTTTTTCATTGTCAAGTAGCAAATGGTCGTTGTGTGGCATACATTATAGTGTTGAAAATAAAAAAAGAAATGGCATTCTTTGGACTTTGATCATTCTCAGATTCAATTTTTTATATTGTGGTTTTTTTTTAATCCAAGGTTATCGGCACTATTGTCTGTAAGTTTCATGGACTAATAAAAACCAGTCTGTATTCTTTAACAGAATAAACAAAAGATCTATCACGATAAAATAAATGTGTGTAATTAACTTTTCTGAATAACACAAAGAAAAACAATTAAGTTCGTTTTTATAACTACCCGAATCATTTTACATAAAAAAAAATCCAGAATGGAACTGGGTTTAAGCCTCATTGATAATTTTATAGGTCATGTTTAAATAAAAAAAAATACTGTTATTTACATTTACTACGCACATGTAATTGAGCTTTTAGAAGCTGCACTTAAAAATATGGGGCTTTGTAGGATACAGATGACTTAATAACAAAATAGTAAGTCATTTTAAAAAAAATAATATCCATTGTATAAATTACTATTTACTCCCCCCTCCCCCAACACTTTTCAGGTATTAATTCATTTAATTTAAATACTAATTAGCCAGTTGTTCCTTTACGTCTTTAACTGCTGGTATTTTTTTCCAAAACTGTCTTATTAAATAATCTATAAGGTTTATTTTTCGTTTTTTGAAATAGTAGATTTCTTACTGTCTCTCTGTTTAAACTCTAAAATCTCTATAATATTTTTTATTTAGTTCTTAAGCTGATTTCATTTACTTTCAGATGAACTTCACGGTAGACTAGGCAGTAATGATTTAAATCATGATTCAGGTGAATTAAACTCTAAAAAAAAGAAAAAGAAAAGAAGACACAGGTAAGTAACAATGTTACATTGGCAGGAGAGCTATATTAAAGTCACCACAGGACAAATTGTTAACACACATTTTTGAAAGTCAAAAACATGTACTATTTCAAAGTAACGACTTGGATTTAGTACACGCGAAGATAACCAGAAGTTTATGAAGAATGGGCTACAGAATGCGTATTACTTTATTTAGCTAGACACATAAGATGGTGATGTGATATCAATAGAAACCAATGTAAAATTAAAAGATGATAAATTAAGTCAGAATGGATTGGTTGGGGCACTTTCTTGTTTTGTCGGGAAGTATGATAGTTATGATTCCTATCAAAATCTAATTATTAACTCAAATTGTTCAAAAATGTATTAAATACAGATCGTCTATACTAGTTCAAAATGACGTTTCATGTCAAGGTTACCACCAATACCCATTCATCGATCAACGAACGTATGATTACAATAGACGCTACCCTAAAATATGGTAGATTATAAAATTAGCTTTCAGTGGCGGATCTTCTAAGATATAAGGTTTCTGATAATAAATATATTTCCTAGTCGGTGGTTATGTATTTAGGGTCGCGACTGTCTGGGAAATGTACGTTAAGCAGTGTATTCAACACCCCTTCACAGTGGCATAGCTAGATTGCGAACAAGGGAAGCGACCATCCTTTCTGCGCACAATTTTCAAAAGTGGTGCCTTTGCAACAATTGTTTAACTCTTTGTGGTACACCTGCGCTTTAGAGCCTGTTTGCGCCCATGCCCCCCTCCCGAAATGTACCTAAAATTTGTTAACGTTCAACCATATATTGTGTGATAATGTTTATTGGCTTGTTATAAATTATGGTTGACAGGCGGAACGTTATTAGATTAGTTATTATCCCAATGGCACATTATACTTCTGTTATTGTTCTGCTTGTCTGCACGTCACCTGCGATATATAGACTAACATAAACAATGGACGTACTGATAATATTAATAGTCAATAATAAATGATAAATAATTCAAGCTTCGCGTTACTTTTAAATTAAGCATAAATACATAATAAAAATGGCATTACGTTGCCCAACGAGAACAATTCTAATGGATAAAATATAAAGACATGCATGTTTAGTTTAACTTGATTAGTATTATGATTAAAGTGAATTTGATGAAACAGAAACGAAGCATGCATTTATGTTATTAAAGCGTGACAAGTGCAGTTTTAAACGCATTTTTGTTTATCTATATTTAGTTGCTTTTTGTTTCTATATATTAGATGATTAGAGAGTTCTAAAAGCTTATTTGGCACATTGTGTCAAGTCGCTTTTATTGTGTAATGTTTCTGTTTTTAAAAATTCATTTCCGAATAATTTTTAAAACTATGGCAGGAAAAGACATTATTTCTTCCTCAGCTAATTGTCTTTTCTGTAACAGTAATATACAGGATGTGATTCTCTAGTCTTTATCAAGATGGTAGCCGCGATGGATCGACGGGTATGACATTGGCTCGCAAACCTGGAGGTGCCATGTTTGATAGCGGTGTTGACCGAGAAAGTTCATCCGGCATGATTCCCTCTTGTCAGTGATGTTGGACGGAGGACCTGGCAAAGGATAACGAGATGGTCGGTGGGGCCAAAGACCAGGGTCCAATGTACACATTGGCGCGCATGTGAGAGAACCCCTGACAGAATTCGAAATAAGTGTAGGCCGTAGCGCCGCTGTCCGGGCAAAATTCCCTCATAGAACACTGCATGGCGTATGCCTGTCTTCATTATCCCAGTCGCGGCAGAAAAGTAGGACGTTAAACCCAATTTTTATTTTATTTCTTTATCTAGCAAATGTATTCCATATGATTGTACCCTGTATGTTTTCATTTGAATTTCTAAAAAAAACATTAAAACAATTGCTCACAAGAGTCGTACGAATTTGTAGTCATTAATCAACCTTTTTACTGTTTTTATTATCAACCTTTTTACTGTTTTTATTATGTATAAATGTAGTCCATTACATGTCATGCCTTTCAATTGTTCTCTGGATAACGTTCGTTACAATCTGATTAAAATACTGATCGCGTTAAGGGGTCATACGAACGGCTTTTGTCATACGAACGGCTTTTGACCCTATGACGTCAAACATGTGATTAACCAATCAGCGTTGATGTTTCTAGAGGAATAACCACAGTTCCGTGCACCGCAGCCGCAACAAACCGTTTCATTGACTTATTCAGAACGCGGTTTATATAACAACAGTTTCAGATCCTAGTGTAGTAAAGACAAGTAAAATGAAAGAAACGAAATAGAATCTGTGTTTTAAAAGCACTCGAAAAATATCGGGTTTCGTTGGATACAGTAAGGTATAAGACTTTGAACTCTGAAAAACGAAACGAAATAGGATCTGTGTTTTAAAAGCATGTGAAAAATATGGGGTTTTGTTGGATAGAGTAAGATTTAAAGAAACATTATGTAAGATTTAGATAAAGAGCTGTCCGTTCTTGCTATAGTAGTTCAAATATAGATAACTCAAAATAAATATATTGAAAATTTCATTCAAATTACCCTATTCTGAGCCAAGTTATGACTGTTTTGACAAGATGTGTGCATTGATTGTTTATTATCGTAACCACTGTACTGGTACATTCGAGGCTAAGTCTCGCTTCTTCATTTTTAAATTAAATCATTAAATGGCCGAACCGTTCTAATCTAGTTAAAATCTCGAGCATCCGATGGCATCGAGAGTTGGTTGTGGTCTGGATAAATTAATTAATGTCTAATTAATAATTTATATAACAATTCAGGCCTAAAGAAAGACCTGCAATAAGCAAATTTAGCTCTTGAATAATGCCTCTTTATTGCTTCTTCAATTAACAAGTCGTTTCTAGGTTTCTCCTAATGTGTAATGCTACATTATATTTACCTGAAAGAATGATTCATTTTGTCATTTTATTTTAGAACAATATTCACAAGTTATCAGTTAGAGGAATTAGAAAAGGCTTTTAAAGATGCTCACTATCCCGATGTATATGCAAGAGAAGTTTTAGCTATGAAAACAGATTTACCTGAAGACAGAATACAGGTAAAGTTTTTCATATTATTTAAAGGGGTCGCCTCACATAGACTTTATTGAGTATAACTATAGGTTAATTCGGAGTTAAAGAGTCTTTCCTACTAATCACTTGCTACTAATCACTTAAACTATCAGTTTTCGTGTTATTGTTTACAGACTCGAAAATTAACCCGTCTGAAGGTGTCTGGATAACTCTGTATCGATGCGGTAGTTATATTATTAGGTTATGCGAGTTACGAATGTCCGTTAAGGAATAACATGGTTGATGTTTTTGATGAATGTATACAAACCACAAATGGCGGAAACTATCGATGCATACAATAAAGAAGAAAAACTTTCAGGTGTTCTATAAATAGTAATGGTACCCTTCCTTGTGCACAAGATCTGTCACTACTATTGACAATTTGAACTTGGAAAATTAATTGGCGGTGTAACCACTGGTGTTAAATTTCGATCTTCATTATAGGAGACTTATATGAGGGGAAGATAATTGGAAGGGTTGATTTTTAGTCCCGAAGTGAATCGTTGGTGATTTTATGTCACTAACTGGAATTTGGCCATTATTTTCTTTTTTTGTCTTTAAATTGGCTTTTCAATTATCATTTTTTTTTTCTTTCAATATGCTCATAGCTAAACAAAATTGTAAATACTATCCCATTTTTCAAATTCAAAATCTCGAATCCGAGCTTTAACACCACCGGTCTGTTGAATTTAACAGCTGATTTGTTAATTGGGTGATGAAGTTCGTACTGATTAGTTTCTCACTTCTATGTAGCAATTACATCATTATAACTGTTGAGTTGACACATACATCTCTACATGATGCCCTTCTGTCATACCGATCAACTGTGATATACAATATATCATGATGTTAGGATATGCAAAGCCATATTGCACCATTAGTAATACATTTCACGGGAATATAATATGACGTATTCTTATTGATAATATATTTTATGCAAACCACAATGAAAAAAAACACAAAAAAAAACAACAACATATATTTACAGTTTAAGATAAAAAAATTAAATTCGTTTCGCCTTTTTTACGGTTACAAATATTAGCTCAAAAATATACAATTACCGAAACGAGATTTAGGAAATATTTATATATTTTGGATTAAATTGAATTAATATTATTTAAAGTGGTGATAAGTCTACCGAACTCGAAATAATGTGTCTTCATTTATCAACCTTAATCATGCCAACTGTTGAATTTAGAAATTCTAACAATCTAGACTCCATACTTGTAATATTCGTGAATATTTCCAATTGATTACCTCTCAATAATGTCCCTTAGAGTAAAACAAATGTTATTTTAGCAGTCGACCAATTTAAGAATTTGAGATTTCAAACTATTTGAGAAATGTGGAGGTTTGTAAGATTTAATGAAAAGACAGGGTGTAGTTGTTGTTTTTGTTTTAGATGATATAAATTAAAAACAATATTACTTTATAATATTATAACAGACAATGTAGTCCAACAACAAAACATGGAACAGACAGTACATACGGTCGCAAACTTCAAAGGGAGGGAATCGAGGCGTCAACCAACCATAAGACAGTTTTCGCATCATTTTTATACAAGTGTTCCTGTTTTTAATATTAGTATATATCCATGATCTTTTTCATTTTATTTTAATTCAACCGTAACTATTATTATCAAACTTCAGCCAAAATATGGACAAATGATTTGTTGATATTGCCAGGTGCTAACAATGTTGAATCGCACCAAGTTTTGGCAGTTAGATGTCGTGGTGCGTTAGAACTAGGGGTCTAATTTATTTTCTAAGATTAAACCAACATTTTAACACTTGTATACCATCACTCTCCAAAGTTGTATTATGTCAACTGATTTCTAAACCAAACACCTTATTGATACTGGCAGAAAGTTTCCATTTGTTGACAGCTGACCCCTAACCAAGACAATTAGGAGGTTTTGGCAGTCTGTAACGCACCATGTGCGAAAATCATTAACAATAACTTAACAAAAAATGCATTGTCTACATGTACGTAAATTTTTGCATAATTCCTTTTACTATAGAAAATGTTATTGTTATTGCAAAGTGTAAAAAATTATAACAAAAAAAGTTCTCATCTATTGATTGATTAATTGCGGAAGCTTTAATTGAAATGAAATACATATTAACTGATTTTCATAATCAGTATATATACGCTGTGGGTTTACACCGAAATAGTCGCCTTTAAAGAATAAACATCACAAAGGTCGCCATATTGGCATTGACAGTTGTAAGTAATAAACAAAAAGGGATCTCACATATAATGATTAATAAATTATTGTTGAATCCTGAACTCATGTAGATGTATAATAAGTAAACATAATGTTTTAATGTGGAATCTAGAACTCCTCCATTAAAGGTCACACCAAATACTAACTATGTCCATTCATTATATTATGCAAATTGACGTTCATATCGACCGTCGAATAAAACGTATCATTCACAGAATATCTCAATTATTACCTCCAATAAAAACCGATAAGAGTTGTACACGTGGGTTTTATTTAATGTTTTGTTACAAACTAATTCAGTCTTATTGTGTATAAAATTATTTATTTGAACTAATAGGTAATAAGGCCTCTCTAGTCTACCGTACATTACATTTACATACGAAATTGATATTAAGCCGAGAATAACAATAATATAACTAACAATTATGTTAATACGTTTATTCATCGTGAATAACAGATAACTGTGCGCTTATCGGAGTATTCGGCTTATTATTATTCTGATGCTTCCCTTTATAGCCTGCTTTATTATATTTTACTATATACACGGCACATAATAATATATTCTATAATCATAAATAAAATTTGTAGTATAGATTACATATTAAAGGAGAAAAATGATAAATATACCCCCCCCCCCAACCCCCCCCCCCCAAAAAAAAAACCCAGACTATATCGCAGAACAAAAATGATAATAAAAAAAATGAACTACGATGTGATATGATTATCTTTGTTCGGTCGACTAAACCAGCAAAACGTTATCACACATGTAATAAATGAATAAATAAAATGCAAAAGCTACTCTCGTCTCTGGTGTGTGATTATCGGTAGTAACGAGAACGGAAGCATATTTTAAATCGGTGTTCACGGCACGAAACGAAACACACGTTCAATATTGAATGAGTTAATCACTCAATCTGTACTCCAGCCAGATTGATAAATTTACATCAAACGTTTCAAAAAGAAGATTCGCTTTGTCAATTAACTAAGCATCGATTAGAATGCGTGTCTCGAGAGACGTGGAGAGAGTTTGCACCATTGGTCATGTAGCCCTAAACCAGTCTTAGTAAATGATATTCAGCCAGTTGATTCAATTAAAGAGATTAACAGTATTCCTAGTTGACTTGAGTTAACGTTCTAACTCCTTATCATTAGAACTACAATGTGAATAACACGCTACATTAAGAATTTTGAATATTTTATAAATGAATTGTGTTCATTTCTTAAATGGATATAATTTAACAGTTGTTAAAATTTCGAATTCTACTATGTACATGTACGTCGAAATTATTTGTCCTTTATGTAATTTACAATTTACATAAAATATTCTGCCACTATATCCAACCTCGTCCTCCGGTTTCCTCCCACTGCTAAAAAAAGGTTCATACGGTCAAGCGAATAATTGAAATAAATTCAACCATATGTTGTCCCGAAATGACCTAGTCTCCCCGCACCATCGTCCTCTCTCTCTCCTGTCATATTCTTTGAAAATCATTAAAAACTCGAGCACCCAGCCCCTTTCATTAGAACCGAACATAGCATCAAGAAAGTCACCGTTTTGCATAGCAAATCATGGTTTAGTAACGAAATTTCGGATCTTAATAACATTCCCATTCCAGGTCTTCCCTATGAACTGATGGCTGATGGATAATAAAGCCACGGTGCATGGGACAGGACAGTAAGGCTAATATCCGCAAATCGACAAACATTTTGTCTTATAACTCTTGTGGATGGTTTGTACATGTAAATCCGAGTGAAGGGCACAGGGTTTGGTGGAGGGGGTCTTCACTGAAAGGCAAACTGTCCGTCTTAAACTTAAAGTTGAAATTGGTGGTCAGTTAGTTAAGGGGATCATCATTTTATTTTCGTCTGAAAGTACAACAGAAAGATCTAATCTGAAAACTGCATTAACGAGATTCCTAATGGCATCGATGCCATTTTTTTTGATAAAGTATATTAGAAAATTTAATTTGTTTTTTTCCCATTAAAATGGTTATACATCACGCGAAGATTAGCTAGCAGCGTGAAGAATAACAAAGGCTTGATTATATTGTTTTTGTGCGGTGATTATTGACGCTAATGTAAATGAGCTATAATTCGTCTTCGCTTAACGTATGTCGGCCCGAGACGAGCGTAATTGAATTAATTCTGTTAAAGAGTGGATCGTGCCGTCAAATCTCAGTCTTTATCAAGTTTCTCCCAATTAATATAAATAATTGGCAATTACCGGTATTTATTACAAACTAATAGATATATAGCAGGCGAAAAATATATTCGCGGATTCATTCTCATTACCGTGTTCATGCCTGTGGATTATTCGTTATAAAAAGAAGAAAATTGCTCTCTATGCGACAAATACAATTTTTCCCACGAAACTATTAGGATATAGTTTAGCGTTGTTTGACATTGTAATTGTAATGTGATATCTAATTAAGAATAATGATGTTACTAATTATGAAACAAGAAGAGATTAGTTATAAAATTACACCCCATAAATACTCTTATTTCAGTTTCATATATTTCATGTTCGTTATCTTTTGATATTATAAAACGGGGTTTTCTAAAATAATAACTACGTTTATCAAAAATCGAAGTAATTCAATCGTTGCACAATTGTCCAAGGAACAATCATAACAAGTTTCAAGTCAATCGTATTTGAATTGTCTTAGCCTTAGGCTTTTTTTTTCAAAGAAGAACAACAATTAAGTAGAATATGAGTAGCGCTTGGGGCCCAGTTTCTGGTCCAAATCAACCCTTGCCTAATACTAGCAGAATAAAATAATTATATCTTTCAAATAACCCAAATCATAAAAAAAACTGTCTAATGGAATGATATGTTTAAAAGGGTCATTGCAAGACATCTTAATTTAGGTTAATATATGTAATTTGCTATGAGGCAATCAAAAGCTCGCTGTCAATGTCGTAAAAAGTTTAGAGAGCTACACGAAAAGCATTAACATTGGAATTTTTAGACCTTCTTTCCTTCAGCACACCCTTTGGAGTAATGTAGTCGTAGATAATCGAGATATCACTAAAACTTTGAATTTAGTTAACTATTTGAATCCAAATTTACCAAGTAAGGAGTACCTATGACTATTTTATCGGTTTATAGCCCCGGTAGTTGGGCCTATGTATGTTACCCGTGGGCTTAGAGCAATAAGGCAACGAAGTTGTGGTGCATTTCTCGCGTTTGCGCTGTATCATAAGGTCTGTCATTGAGTCATCTGAAGTGGCTTAGTTTCCCCGGTTCTACGTGACAAGGAGTAGGTCGCCTGTCCAACCTCGTGGGTTTTCTCCGGGTCCTCCGATTTCCCCCCACTGCTAAAGAGCCCTACGCGCATGCGAATTATTGAAATAAAATTGAACCATAATATGTTAGTCCCGAAATAAACTATTTTGTGTCGAGTGGACGTTAAACCCCATTTCACTCTCTTTCTCAAATTACTTTTTTCTGAGCGACGTTGTCACTGTTGGAAGTTTTAACATAGATTGTTTATTATCGTAGAAACGTTACTTGTTAGTCGAGACTCTGTCTTAGCTTCTTCATTTTTAAATTAATTCATTAAATGGTCTTTCGTATTTAAATCCATTTACATATGCACCTCTCGATGGTCTAGAGAGTTGACTATAGGCTTGTCAGGTGAATATATGCCTAAATAATAATTTATATAATATTTGAAGCCAAAATAAAAACCTGTAATAGGCAGATTTAGCTCTTACATAATGCATGTTTAATCAGAGTATGATTTTTAAAACAATGACAGCGAGAATTTATTTAGATTTAACCATTTGGGTCGCCAGGAATTTGCTTTCCAAATGTATGTTAAGGCCATCTTTAAGCACAATTGTTTTAACCTAATCTATTAAATTCATTGATAAGGTTACTTTATTAACCAAACTAACTATATAAGGCTACTTGATAAATACATATAATAATAGCCTTATTACCCGAATCAGACCGGTACGGTAGATTTTTTGTACGTGTGTCTAAATGTCATTGATATCCGAGATTTGACATCACCGTCGAACCATTAACAATGCCATTAGTTGCAAATTTCCCCAACTAATTGGACGCATTTCGATCTTCCTCATTAATTATAGCAAATAAATGAAATGAATATTATAAGGATGCTAATTAAAAACTAATGATCTCAAATTTGTTTCTCTAGCTTACTCGCATTTTCCCCCTGAGCCTTGTTAATATAAAGACCTGCCCCATCATTTATTTCTTATATAAGAGGCCATCATAGCCAATCCGAATACAGGTAGAACTAATCCATCAAGTAGCATCGGCGTCAAAAATCCAAGTTAAGTCAAGTGGTAGGGTATGCGTATTCCTTCTCATACCACTCCTCATTTAGATGAATAGTATACACGTGTATAGTGATTGGTAGGGTATGCTTATTCCTTCTCATACCACTCCTCATTTAGATGAATAGTATACACGTGTATAGTGATTGGTGACTTGTGTATGGGTTGGACATGTCCACTCTTTCTACAACACCTGATACCATTTGGTAAACTCTCGCCTAAAAGTTTTAGCTGTAGACTATAACCTGTTCTCGGTCTTCTTATATTTATAATATTTTTTTAACAGTTTATACCCACCCTTAAGCTCCCCTACTTGTTTTCTTATAGACATATATGACAATCTTAGTCGAAAGTAATTGCATTTAATAGGATTGTGTCCTATAGGTAGTTTCAGTTCAATTACAAAATACCATTAAAACAATTTATACATTTTTTTGGGTGGGTGGGTGGGGGGATTAGAAATGAATTGCGTTTATGTTACATTATTTTCATGGTATATATTTTCTTTTTTACAACCACAACCAGGATCTTAATTTATATATATGAGGTGGTGCGATGTTATTAATAATATAATTACATATATTATGACAAAATGTCCTTTTAGTTTTGATTAATCGGTTTCATTAAAACAAAACACCCCCTTAATATACTAAGGCTATTTGAAGCACTTTAATTCGATGATAAAAGCAACACATTTAGATAATGTTACTACTTAGTTAGATAGAATATTATTACACGGGATAGTATTTCTAAAAATTGAAAGATAAATAACATAATTCAATTTTTCTAATTACGTCATTAATTTGTATTTTGCGCTCAAGATGTCAAAAACAGAATGTTAGTTTAAAAACTTAATTTATTTTTGTAATGGATAGCATTTAAATTTTCAGATTTATGCGTAAGCAGGTTGCATTACCGGGCGCACAAATGTTCACCCATTCAATAAGATTTTATTGGCTTAATGAATGAAAATATGACGCACTATAAATCTTTATGTATATCATTGCAAATATGTTATTTAAATATATGCAATACGTTTAAATATTTGTTACATAGAATAGTTTAGGTTCCTCTAAGAGTGGTGTATACAGTTTTAAAATAGAAGAAAGGGTTTTTCAAAAATAAGTTTTTATGGCCATAAATAAATCGAAGCATGGTGTTTGGGTGGGTGGAGGATTATCACATTGGTTGTGTTTATTCTGCGCCTGGAGATGGACAGAGTGAAATGGGACGTAGATCTTTAACGCGATACCAATTTATCCAATATCATAGAGCGGTACCATTTTTCCCAACATACAACACGGTGTCAATTCTTTATCCAACACCACAGTGTGGTACAAACACGATACAAATTTGTTCTACACCAAATCCAAAGCGCGGTACCATTTTGCCCAACATCACCGCGCGGTGCAAATTTATTCTAGACAACATCGCGGTACCCATTTTTCTCAGGGGTTTACACAACGATTTACAACAGCGTTTCATATACATGTAATTATTTCCAAACTTATTTAAAAGTAAAATAATTCTGTTTTTAGGTTTGGTTTCAGAATCGTCGAGCTAAATGGCGAAAAACGGAGAAAACTTGGGGAAGAAGTAGTATTATGGCGGAATATGGTTTATATGGTGCTATGGTTCGCCATTCTTTACCATTACCAGACACTATAATCAATACAGCTAAAGACAACGTGTTAGATAATTGTGCGCCTTGGTTGATAAGTAAGATTTGATTTTTCTTTTTTTTAATTTTAGGAAGAAAACTAAGTAGTATAGATGCTTTTAAGGGTGATGGGCCACCCATTCTGCATTCTGGCAGAAGATAGATACTGACGACACCTACTAGAATACACTTTTAAAATTTGAAGACGCCATCGTTCAAATAACATTTGTCATTTGGAAAATTAGAAACAAGACTAGCAGTTAATCTCGATTATTGAAAGGTCTTGTAGTATTGATGACGGCATTATGGGTGGCGTTGGAACGAAAGTCACCTATAGTTGTCGAACTCAGTGGGGTTTATAAGATGTCTAAACAACCAAACGTTTTAGACAACTTATAATAACGTACTGTTGAGTGAAAATTAAAAAAAAACATTCTTATTTAACAGAAGGGATACAACTGGAATACAGGAATTTATAAATGTTCAGTTCTTTTCATTAAAATGATTGTATAAATTATGTCACCCGGTTTTCGCTTTACTAATGTTGGCTGATGTATTTTGCAGGTATGCACAAAAAATCGTGTAATACGTCAGAAGTTCTGGGTGAAAGTGATAATGAGGGCAGTGTGGAGGTTCAGGATGATGATGGTGCTGTCACAGGAAATGAAGTAGACGCAAACATACCAGCTCCTAAAATGAAAGAAGAAATACGAACAGAAAGTATAGCAGCTCTAAGAGCTAAAGCTGTTGAACATAGTGCTAAATTATTACAGGATTTTGGCGAGAATTCTAATCACAGAATCAGCCCACAAAACGAAGACTCAGTGGACTCTACAGATGACGATATTTGCGTTACAGACTCTCCAAGTCCACACTCGACGTGATTTAGAAACTTTTAGAGTGGATAATAATTGATTAGTAGAAAGTTTAGTGCTAGAAGAACAGCATTCTCTACATACCCGGGTCAAGTGTACCCATCGTCTTTGTGGGAACTATAAGAAAGAATGATTGTTATTGAGTTAACAAATCTGCAGAAATATAAACAGGGTTACTTACACACGTAAACCAATCACCAAAGTACTAGATGTACTCCTAGCTTTAGGTACGGTGGCTTTCAGGGACCATTTGATAGCCCATATTTTAAATTTTATGCGTACTTATTACCTTTAAAAAATAGAAAGTCGCCATTTAAAATGCTGGTGATTGACTTATATTTGTTGCCTGGAAACCTGATATTAAAAGATTTTAAAACGAATCTGCTTTTTAAAAACAAAACAAAAAAAAACAAAAGGGAAGCTTTCGTTATTCAAAACATACATTTATGAACATTTTAAATTTGTTTTTTTTTTCAGCTGTATTATAGAATATCAAAACAAACTCTATTTTTAAAGAGTCTTAAAACGGGTATACTACTATTTTATGACTGCCTGATTATAATACTGAACAGATATAGAATTATTTAGAGAATCGTAGTTGGTTATGGCAGAGCTTATATATCTGATGTAGAGACTGGGTAGAGTCAAATCTTAAAGAAATGTTTTGCTAACGGATGTGACAAATATTACATGTATTACATTTCATAATTTGGATATGAAATGCTCGTATCCCATGCTTTAATAGTCTACATTCACAGATTTATATTTGCATTTAAGGGACACGATTAATTCATACTTACTGGACCACAACTTGTGTTATAAAAAAACCCAGAACCATTCCATGATTAGATATCACAATGTACGACACGTCACTGTTTGGCAAGGTATACCGTAAAACGCGACCGTTACATTGACCGCTTTTTTGCAAGTTAAATGGAAAGCACACATATAAAATCCAATACCGTATTCACAAAACCTCTGTATATACTTAATAATAAAAAGTAAAATCGAAAAATATTTAGGTAAGCAAGGAATACAACATGAAGACAAAGCTTTATAGTAATAATAAAAAGTCGGGTTGTTGGTATGTTCTTTAGTAGAAATGTCATAAAAACAATCAAACCGGCAAAGCAGGATTTCGATGAACAGACATCCTAGATTTCAAAGCCCCGTAAATTTTGAGGTCCCAGGCCCCAGTCTGCTAATCGTATAGGTAAATCCGGCACTGCAAACATGGTAACGAATCTAAACGTGACATCGGCATTTTTGACTGCCGGAAGTCGGTTTTTCTATGATGTTATACTGTAACATTCAAGAGCAAATCCATTCCAGTTATATGATGTTATAGTGTAACATTCAGGTTCTACGCTGTTATAGTGTAACATTCAAGAGCAAATACATTCCAGTATATGAGATTAAGTAAAGAAGAAATTATTTTCATTCAGGTTTAATTGACCATCTTGCTCGGCCTGTCTGTATATTATCTTTTCAATTGATAATTACTATTGTGAACTTTTACATGTGCGTTAAATCAACTGAGAACTTTAACACGTACTTTAAATCAACTGAGAACTTTAACCTTTAAATCAACAGAGAACTATAGCACGTACTTTAAATCAACTGAGAACTATAGCATGTACTTTAAATCAAATATGATATATTACATGTACTTTAAATCAATTGAGATCTATGTATATTTTAAATTGGGAACTTTTTATAAATGTACTTTATATCAATAGAGATGTATGTATACTTTACATTGAGATTGTAAATGTATTTTATATGAGATAAAGAAATAGTTCATAGATTATAAAAGATATGATACGAAATAAAGAAATAGTGCATGAACTATAAAAGATATGATAATTTATACATATTAATTACTGGTTATACATTAAACCAAATATAGGGGAATAAATCAATTTATAAACAAATAAAATGGTAATCGCCTGATTATTAGTATATTGACGAGATATTCTCACAGTGGCAGTCATATTGCTCCAGGTAGTATTTTAATGTTTCTCATTCATATAAAACTATCACATCCCCAGTAAATAAAGTTATTATGAAGGCATTATGTATATATTATGTTAACATTTTATGATTTTATTATTATTATTAGAATTGATATCTGTATATGTATGAATTAAAAGATTAAATTATCAACATTTGTTAATTTGTCATGTTTCGCGGCATATTTAATATTTTAAAGGTTACATTCGATAACAATTATATTGATAATAAACAACACAACACAATTTATATGGAAAAAAATCACTGTTTTTTTTTCATACATGTATAGCATGAAGTTTCGACAAGTGTTCTCTTGATAACGATAAGGGAACACTTATTCAAAACGTCGTGCTATGTGTAAAAACCAGTGACTATTTTCCGCATATAAACAGTGTTATGTATTTTAATGTGCTCAAGGGATTATATTGAGAATCAATCTTTACCATCGCTATTTACTATGTTAAGTTTTGCCGCAGAGGAATGTAACCCTGTAGAGGTCGGTTAATAAACTACTTAATGTAGTCTATTGGGATCATATCTATATTCATATCTAACATCTTTGAATAACTTAGATGTATGATTCTGAAGAAGTAGAGTACACTACACCCCCACACAACCCCTCAAAAAAATAAAATTACGCCCATTGATTAATTGTCGAACATGTTTACAGTGTAACGCACTGCGTTTACGAACCGGGGTCCTGTTTCACAAAAACTTAAATCTCTTTAAAATCGTCGTAAACTAAAATTTCATCCTAGAGGTCGGTTAATAAACTACTTAATGTAGTCTATTGGGATCATATCTATATTCATATCTAACATCTTTGAATAACTTAGATGTATGATTCTGAAGAAGTAGAGTACACTACACCCCCACACAACCCCTCAAAAAAATAAAATTACGCCCATTGATTAATTGTCGAACATGTTTACAGTGTAACGCACTGCGTTTACGAACCGGGGTCCTGTTTCACAAAAACTTAAATCTCTTTAAAATCGTCGTAAACTAAAATTTCATCCTAACTTAAGATAGATGAGTTTCACAAAACGATTTTAAGCATTTTAGTTTAAAAAATCCACTAAAATAATATTTTAAGTTAAAATTTTATCTGAACTTAAAATATTGGCGTTCCACAAACCTATTTTAGGGGCAATTTTAACTAAAATCAATTTTAACTTAGGACAACCGTCACCCTCTCCTAACTTAAAATCACGACCTTAACAAACATTGATTAGAGCTACGTTGTGAGACCTATTGCGACATATACATGTAGATGTATTTGAAATAATGATAATATTGTCAATGGACCGGGTCACATAATTTTAACATACCATCATTCACAAAAACAATTATCATTCATTTTCTTTTCATAGCATGGGGAATACAGCCGTTTATTTTATTGTAAGGCAATTTTAAGCATTTAGATGAAGCCCCAAATTAGAATCCCAAGAAAGAAAAACCACTCAAAACCCCATAAGCATAGTATTTACTCATATAAGTCATAATTTTTGAGGTTATGATGATTTTTAAAAAGATAAATCAATAATCCCAAATGTGTTTACTGAAAGATGTTATAGGTATATTTGAAATTAAATTTTAATATTATAAATTTATTATTATTTCTTAATAAAGGCTTAAGTTAATAAAGCAACATAAAGAAGAGAAATTGTAGGGGATAAAGCTATTTTATCTTGGGGGGGGGGGGGAGTCATTTTAATGCACTTTGGCATTTTCAAAGTATCATTGAAAAGGGTCTATGGGGATGACATTTCAAATCTATATAATTTTATATAGGCATCGGAACATTGGATATTTGGTGTATTAGTTTCAACAAAGTTGTTACATACTTTTAAAATTCGAAAAAATGTACAGCCTAGATTAGCCGTTTGACAATTCTTAATAGTTGCCGTTATCCAAAATACGATAAAACTAGGAAATTCGAGCGATTTAGTTTATCAATACGCAATATTTCCATCCAAGCTTTCGAGTAAGTCAAATGCCAAGAAAGCAAGATGCAAGTTCAAGGCCAACTTACCGATACATTTCGAAGCGAATAATACGCAATAAGCTCAATAATACTCAATTTAATTCATCTCATTAGTTCAACCTGTCAACAGTTTTCAGACTCGAAGCGTATTTGCTTACACTCTACGTGCTCGCAACGGAAATGTGCACTGCGCGGGTGCAAGCAATTTTAATCAAAATCTATTAAAATTACATTTTAAGTTAAAATCGATCTTCGTGAAATGCATAAAATTTAAAATTTCATTTTGATTTTAGTTAAAATCTATTTTAGTGATTTTAACTTAAGTTTTTGTGAAACAGGGTCCTGTTCCGCTCGTTTTCCTAAACCACATTAGCCATTTGCCTAGAATTATATCAAACTGACCATATATACAGGTTTAGCCAAAAATATGTTATAGTTCTTTTCTTAGATCAAACCACAGCAAATTGTGGCTATACTAATAAAAAAAATAAATATGTGATGATAGCAACGTAACATATGCCAAATAGTCCGGTAGTAGGTCGACAAGACTGGAAATTTTGATGGATTATATATCTTCAGTATGTGTAGGTTTAGAATCCGGATGATGTCACCCTGGCAGCCTTGAGGAATTTTAAGTATTCAAGATGGCAGATTTGAGACAGATTCTCTGGCACCTTGGCTTGAAGGTGGTTTCTATAAGAATTCGACCCGCTGAATCCAATGAGCTTGGGTATTCCTCCTAAAAGTGGCGGCGAGACATAACGATGTCAGTAATGTGATAGTCTAATACGTCAAACTATTTCATATCAGACTGGCGCAATGTGCCATGACCGAACGAAACGCAAATATAGTTCCCAAATTCGACAAAATAGCTAAGTTTAGGAAACCGCGGAAGAAAATAGTAAGAGTACTGCAGAATGAGCGTTAAACTACCTCGAACACACTCTAGGCTACTCCTTGTATTCTTAGAAGAACACAAAAGCTTCACAGCCAAACACAATCCACCATTGGACCATAGTTGAAAGCAAATGATTCTAAAAGTTAACTAGTGCTTACTTCTGATATAATAATGCTGCTAAACGTTCATTCTGCGGCGGGTGAGTGTTTCTGGCTATTTTGGTTATCATTTAAGACTCAACAGTGAAGCAAAATGTACGAAAAGTACCATTTGACCACAGACATGGGAATACAATGATGCAATATACAGCGACTTGTGTCTACAATGACCAGAAGAGGGATACCATGTCAGTTTCCCGAGCTTCTAATTGGAGTTCTATATGAAACTAAGAGGCTTTGCTGTTTACCACAAATTACAGGGTCATACGAACAAAAGCTACGAAGAGCGAATTGTCAAGCATACATTATCATCCACTATATCACCCGTCCGTGTCACATTCTCTACTAGAAAAAGTTTGGAAAAAGATATGGAAAATGTTTGCCAGCGTCATGCGTAACTCCAGCTCCGTGCGTATGAGTGGTCTAATAACTTTCAGTCAAATTTGCTTAAAACTCACGATGGCCCGATAGTTGATTGTGCTTGACCGTGTATAATTTGTGTTCTTATAAGAATACAAGGGGAAGAATATCCTCGGGTTGGTTTTTCTTGATACAGATGTTTTTACATTACTATTTTTCCATGGTCTCCTAAACTTAGCTATTATGTCGCTTTTGCGAACCATATTGTCGTTTATTTCGATCATAGTACATGTATATTCAATTGTTCAGATATGAATTCAGCGAAACCAAAAACCTATAATTTGACGTATTACACTATCACATTACAAATATCGAAATGTCCCGCCAAATATGGTCGAAATTTTGAATATAAGCTCAGCCGGGAATAACTTTTGGTAGGAACATATTTTTATGTTTATATCTGAATTAACTGACCCCGAAAAACAAAATGATCCTCCATTTTGAATTTGGCCCCCTAACGGAATTAGTCATCACTTTATGAGGAATACCCAAGCTCATTGGGTTTAGCGGGTTGAATTCGTATAGAAACCATCTTCAAACAGAGGTCCAAAAGAATCTCTCACAAATTTTACCCCACTAAATAACCAGAAAATGCCTCATGGTGGCCATCTTACATATTTGAATTTCCTCAAGGGTGCCAAGGTGGCATTATCCGGATTCTGAATCTACACATATTGAAGATACATAATCCACCGAAAACCTATATTTCAATATATTACAATAAAAGTTTCTTTCAGAATTATCGTTCTTTATTTTTCAAATTTAAAAAAAAAATTTGCCCATTTTAAAAACTTTTTATAAACAAACGGCACAATCTATGTTTCTGAAATTTCTTGAGCATGACGTAATGGTCCAAGCCTTTGAAAAAGAAAACTATCCCGACAATGAACCGTAAACCAGAAGTAATCAAAATAATGTCCCATATTGTGAAAAAAACCCGCAAAAAAGGATGCAGCTTCGTTGGATAACACCGGATCAAACCAACCTAGGTATCGTTGGGTGACCCGATGAATGGACTACCGTATGATGCCCAATTGATACATATTTGATGATAAGGAAGAAAATATGGCACGCCGAAAATCAAGTATTTTCTGATTTTTAGAAATTTTGGACGCCTTTATCTCGAACACTACGTCAGCGTTTTTTCTTAAACTTTCTATATCGAGAGTACTTTTGAATGTCTTGTGCAGGATAACATTGACAATGACTTTGAAATAATTGGAATGGGAAAAAAAGGACTGAAAATCTAAAACAACTTTCTATATCGAGAGTGAAATGAAATGGGGTTTAACGTCCTACTGTTCTGCTCCGAACTGGGCTAAGGAAGACGGGCATACGCCATATCACGTTCGATGATGTTTTCAATTTTAGCACTGGATCCAACCATTCAACAAGACGAAAAGTGTTTAATGGTCGAGAGCGAGACATTAAGTAATATATTGAAACAACACGAGGGATGTCAGTCCCGAGTTGTTGTTTGAAAATATTACGCAATGCCTTAAGCTCGAGACCATTAAACAATTTAAAATATAGACACTAGCACGTATTTTGCATTGAAATACGCCACGGTCGTCCAAAATTTCAGCTAGTATAAATAATGTACGATTGGCATATTGCCCGTACCATTATTTGAAATAATG